GTTCCCGGGAGGAGGGAGAGCCGAGGCTCTGCGGGGTCCGTGGAGGCCTCCGCCCGGCCCCCAGTGCGGGACCGGTAGGTCTGAACTCCAGAAGAAAGGGGGGCTGGGAAGGCGAATGAAGCCCCCGCGTCCTTTCCCCTGGCGAAAGAAACAGAGGCAGGGATTCATCCTGCTCTTGGTGGTCTGAAGAGGTCCGGACCTACCTGAGCGACCTGTGCTGTGTGACCTCTTAGGACTCAGGCGGGCCCAAGAAGATGCCCGAGGCCAGGAGGAAAAAGATTGGGCGCCTCCCCTGACTTCTTGCTGGCCCCGCGCCACTGGGTCTGCAGCCCGCACGCCCCCTAGCCTCAGGCGTCCCCAGACCCCTCCACCTCTTCCTCCCAGGATTGCGTGTCTGGCTCCCTGCTCCGCACGACAACTAACGCGGGCGGGAGAGAAAAAGAACAGTGCTGTCCAAGCTCCCAGGCAGTATTTTTTCCGCTTTCTGCATGCAAGCTGTTAAAAACATGCTGCTCTCTTGTTTTTGTGTTTCTTTTCAGTTTGGGACTGGAATGGTGCCTTCTGTTGTATTTTCTTCCTCCCATTTTTTAGGTCTTTAACATGCTTGGAAGTACAACAATCGAGCAAAAGTAGGACAAGCCTGACTCCTTCCAGATTGGGCGGAGCGGCTACTCCCTGGTGGAGAAAGGCTCCGCGGGCCTTCCGACCTGCGGGAGTCAAAGGCAGGCGAGGGTGCGGGGGTCTTCCTGACAAAGCTTTTATTTACCCTTGTGAGGACCGCACAGGATACTAGCACGTCTGGTCTTTTCTGTTTGTTTCGTGCTATAAGCAACGTGGAGTGATAACTACATATGGTGATCACAAGCTCTAAAGTGGGAATTCTATGTGTCTGATTAATAAAAATGTAAAATTATTAATAAATGCAACTTAGGATACTGTGTGTTTTTTCAAATGTGGGGTTCCTGGAAATAAACACGATAGGTAGTGTAATAGTAGTGAAAGTTTGGGAACCAATGGACCTGAACAGTATTTCTCAAATTAAGTCTGTGGATGTTTTTCTCCAGGGTTTTCATTTCGACATTTTTAAAATTTGCATAGCATATTCTGCATTATTTGAGTGACCCCTTTATAACCTGGTGTCACCACACGATTTCAGTACCTACATTTACATGTATGTTTCAGTGCTGCTTTTATTGTTCTGGGATAAGGAGAACAGAGGAAGATTTAAAGTGAAAATAGTGTTTTCGTGTGCAAAATGAAAGCCAAATGACACCATGGAACTTAACTGTCACAGTAGTGCTAGCAGAAAAGTAGTGAGAAAACAGAGGCGTCATAGGTTGCTTGGTGGCACTTTGAACTCAAAAGCAGCTCAGCTTTTGAAGACAATACCATAGTCACAATACAAGGGATGACTTAGTCTCAGCAAAATACTTCATTTCTCAAAATAAGTCATTTGTTAAATTACTGTAATATCAATATAAATAGTCTTAGTTTTGTGGTTTCATTTGTACTTCATTTGTAAATCCATTTTGGTGTTTTTGTTGTGTAAGAACTATAAATAAAAGAACATTATATTTCTGCTTTATATTTGTAAATTTAAGTAACATTGTAATAAAAATATAAGTTGAGAGTTTTCAATATATATATTTTTTGATCTTTAGAAATGGATCCAAATACTACTCAAGTTTGAAGAACAGAGGGCTAAGAGATTGTTAGATTTAGTACTTCACCAGTTAGGAGATCAGAGAGGGTTCTTATTAGCACGGGGAAGAGAAATTCGTTACCTTATACTTTGTGTAAAAAATCTTCAGAAATGATAAAGGAAGCAAGGGCAGAGAGAAGCACATTAAGTCAGTTCCACACATATCATCATCTAGATATTAGCTCAAGCTTTGGTGAGCCTTGATATACGGAGCAAAAATTAGCACACTGATGCTTAACTACTTTGTTTAAAACTCAAATATGCTTTGCTTACCCAAGCACAATTAATCAGACACCTAAGGAATAACTATGATTAAATATGAAATCACAAGCTGAGAAAACAGTCCCCAGAAAATTGCCTGGTTTGAGAGTCATCAATTCTGGACTTCAATTCCCACCACTGTGTCTGACTCACTGTGACCTACCTCTCTCTATGCCTCAATTTCACCTCCCACCCCCTCACCCCCAATAAAATGGAGCTAACCACCTCTGGTTTCCTCTCCGGTTACAGTGATGATGTGACAATGAAACAGGTAGTAAACACGGAGATGCTAATAAATCGTTCAATAAAGAAAGTGATTAAAATAGACTGCAGCAGAAAGAGGCCATTTCAAAAGCTGAGCAAATGGAAACTGGAACACAATCTAAAACAGTCTTTGGGGAGTGTGGTCTACTGATTATCTGAATTGCCTAAGATGCTTGTTTAAAAATGCAGATCCCTGGCCTCCACCCCAGACCTACTGAATCGGAATCCCCGAGAATGGGGTAATACATTTCACCCTGCACCCCTGGTGAATCTAGTATGCACTGATGTTCAGAAGTCATTGATTTTAAAAGTTTATCTGGAAAAATAATCTCCATGTCAACAAAAAGGCATCTTCTGCTCAAGGACAGTCGTAAAAATCTCTTCAGAAAAAAGCAATGACAGCTACAACTGCTTATCAATAAGCAATTCTGTCCCGATTGGCTGTGGGTTTTGCCAGATTAAAGTGATCCTCTTTTGCTGGCTTCCTGGAAGTCAGCCAAGTGCTACAAGTATATATAGAACAGTGGCACTGAGCTGTCTCCTATCTTCTCCTCTATTGCTCCCTGTGGCCTCCTCTGTGCATCCCACACACACCACAAGAAACTAATGACCAGGGAGTGCCAGAGGCAACAGCTGAGATTAGGCTGAGGATTTAAGGCAACCCAAGGGGAAACAATATGATAGTCTCAGCACAGAAGCACTGAGCTCTGACACCCACATACAGCTCACTCATTCAGTGAATCAAGGAAAGGCAGGGTTAGACTTGCCCAGTTCCTGTCAGACGAAGCGTCAAGAATGTGGAGAAGCGCAGCAGATGGGATCAACAGTCACCAACTCTCGTGCTTGTAACAGCTCTCGGTGCCGCAACAGAAAACGGTCAACCCTGAGCAAGTCGGAACGACTTCATTGCTGGGCCCTCCTGCCTCTTGCCTCACATTTATTAAGCTTGCCTCTCCCTCACAGGGCATGAGAGTCCTGGACGTCGGTGGCGCTCTCAGGGCAGACCCAGGAAGGCTGTCCCATTGAAAAGGCCATCAAGAGAGTGGTGGATGGCCCTGGCCCATGTGGCTCAGTGGTTAGAGCATCGGCCCTCACACCATAAGGTCATGGGTCTCTGATTCCCAGTCAAGGGCATGTATCTGGGTTGCAGGTTTGGTCCCAGTTGGGGCCTGTGCAGGAGGAAACCAATCTATGTGTGTCTCTCACGCCGATGTTTCTCTGTCTCTCTCTCTCACCCTACCTCCCTTCCACTCTCTCTAAAAATCAATGGAAATATATCCTCAGGTGAGAATTAACAAAAAGAAAGAAGGGAAGGGAGGAAGGGAGGAAGGAAGGGAGGAAAAGAAAGAAAAAGAGAGAGGTGGAAAGTCCAGCTCATGCACGGAAAACCTAAGGCACATGCAGGCATTTCCCAACTATCTTCATTCAGCAAGACGACCCTGGTAAATGGATTACTAGGTATGAATTTAATTCATTACAAAATATTAATGATACCAGAGAACTAATGACATTTCAAAATTCTATTTATACAAAGAATGTCTTCATTCTGTGGAACTCAAATATTTCCCCCTCAACTTTACCTCGATATTTCACATTCTTTCTCTTCTCTGCTTCGTGGCCAAATTTTAATCCCATTGCTATGGCTGAAAGTACTTTTGAGAGAGAAAGAGGCTGTCCAGGTCCCACGATGCGCCGGAAGCAGCCGTGGCACTCACAATCAGCTGTTTTCACTCCTTGCTTCCCCTGGCTCCATGCTAGTTTCTCTCTGAATATAGAAAAGGTACTGGATTTCCAGAGAACTTTGCTTGAATCGTTGGGAAGAGCAAAACAAAGAGACGGGCAGTCAGGTCTGATCAGGGCAGCGTATACAATGATTAAGGGAATGTTCCCCGGGGTCAGGAAGCCCTAGCCTGGCATCCCAGCTCTATCAGTCACTAGCTGTATGACTTCAGGCACATAACTTATGCTCTCTGAATCTTGGTTTCTACATCTGTACAGTGGGGCTGTGAAGCTTACCTCCTGTGGCTGCTAAGCTTAAATAATTCATATGTATGCTTAGAATAGTTCCTGACACGAGTAAGCCCTCTAATCCTAGCCATTAATAGTTATTATCTACTGAAGAAGTAGAAACAGGTAAGAAAACATTCCAATCAACTGAGCTTTGGCAACAAGGAGGACCAGTGTGAAAAATGAAAGGGTTACATGATTTAGAACCAGAAGACCTGACTCCGGGCCTCCCAGAAGTTCTTCTCATTGGTGAAACGGGCAAATCTTCCTTTACCTCTCTCGGAGTTGTTGTGAGGAGTAAGATCCGTAATGTCATGTTCTTTGGCAACGGAAAGCACTACGCAAATGGCAGAAGTTATGTTACTGATTACCAAGGGCTCCCTGAACCTGGTGTCTAAGCCAAACAGAAACAGAGAACACCTGGAGACCTACGCCCAAGGTGTGCAGGCCCCCAAATTCCCAAGGACAGAATTAGCCATTCCTCTAACCACAAGGGTAGGTTTAAGCTATAACAAACCTGGAGATCAAACAGGCATAGTGACCTTTCTCAGAAGTTTTAAGCCTTTGAGATCTATCGTGGACT